CAAGGATGTCTTTATTAAATAATTATATTTGTTATGTTGGCTGTTGTATAACTATTACAAAAAATAAAAATAATTATAATTATAATAAAAAAAAAGATAAAAATACGGATGATGAAATATTCTTTAAAAAAAGTAGTTTCCTCTTTAGACTAAGTGGTATATGAAGGGGTAGTGTGGTCAGCACTAAACCCAGCCGCCTTTACTTTCCCTAACGTGAATTAGGACTAATCAAAGCTGGGTGAACTCAGGGCTACTAACTTGAAACAGGATTTGAACTCTAGACTTTCGGATTAGTGGTCTAACTTTACCATCAATTTTAAAAAGATAATCCTGAAATGGGCAAGGAACTAACCTAACACGAACTTACAGCAATAGTGCAGACTATGGTCTAATTATTCTAAAGACGCTAATTATACAATGAATTTATTAATGAGTGATCAAGTCAATATTCTGTTTCCTCAAGTAGAAAGAACACGCAGATCACACAAAAAATAATAATCTTAAAAGAACTTTTATCAAATCAAAATATAACAACTCTACGAAGCAGACAAGCCAAGACAAGACAACCACAACAAATAAAGCAATCACACTAAACTTAATCAACACGACTAGATAAAGAACAGAGGAAAAAAACAGACTGGTAGTAACGGTGATTTATAGATTGTGACCTACTTAGGTCTGGTAATGTTTATTTTGACATTTGTTATAATACCATATATGGTCTGTGGTGCAATGACCGGTTTTTTCCGCTGTCTTGCTAAGAGAGTCTTAGACTCAGAAATTTTCAATCAAGATCTGATTGATTGATTCAGACCAGATGACCACCCCAACCAATGGCCTTATGATTTGAAGGTGACCTTCCATGTTGCCTAAGTCTATAAATAGATTGCGCACAGGTGTCTCTGGGCAGTTCATTGATCAGACGTCGTTGAGAGACATAAGCCCTGTGTGTTGCCGTTTAGTACTAAGTTGTTTAAGTAGCATATTCATATATTACTTGTGGTTAAGTAATTCTTTATGCTTATAGCAGTGATGTGTATACTGTGGTGATTTTTCTGAAGTGTTAAAAGCTGTGATAGTGTATCATATTATTTTTTCCCACGAATTGTAAGTTGGGTTTTGTTCATTCTGTAAATCTATTTTATTCCTGTATAAATCTAGTGTTCTGCCACGACTTTGTACACTCATTACAAGTTATATGCAGATTAAAGGTATTGTTGGCATCAGTAGTTTCTCTAGTGTTTCCCCTAGACATCCATTACGAGTCCTAGTGAACTAGTGTGTTAACTTTCTTTTATTTAGGCTTGTCGCCATCTGTGTATAATCAGTTAAACGAATCCGGGAGCGTTCGCCATCTATCTGGCTGATAGATTGGTGTCCGTTACAAGATTAACTGGATTAGAAATAAGAAATAAAGTCAAGCTTTGTTAAATAAATAATTTTTTCAAAGATAATTGATTAATATACTCTTTGATGTCTAACCCTGGCCACTATTTTAGAAAGAAATCGTCACTAGCAAAAACTTAAAAAGTCTTGATTACATTATAGCCTCAACTATGTACATAAACGTACAATAAACCAACAACTCAGCACATAAATATAATACTTCTAATATACTATGTGTACTATAGTGTAAACTAAACCAAAAATTGTATGTAAATATTAAAAACCACCAATCAAACCGTCACAACAAATAAAGCAATCACTCTTAACTTAGTTAACACGCCTAGACAAAGAACAGAAAAAAAAGACCAGCCCTAATCAATAAACATTTCATACGCACAACGTGTTGAAACATGACTTTAAACAAATAGATAAACTGTGGGGCGTCACGGGACTTAGGGAGGTGGGAGCCACTTGTCTCTCCTCCCCCACCCCTAAAACCACCCCCACCCCCACCCCCAGCGGCCGTAAAGGAGGAAGACACGGAAGACAATAGGAGGAGGGCACCACCTGCTAATTCCACCCGCCCCTACCCCTAGCTGGAGTACTTTACTATATAACATGTCTGCACAAATACGACTCATAGGGGACCTAATATACTACTATTATGATCGTGTTAGAAAGAAAGAGTGCGTTTTTTTTTTGTTTTTTTTTTAATCGATTTGGTCATTACGTCTCAAAGACGCATAGCACTAGAGTATGTTTTGTAGTGTAAAAATATCGACACACATATACAAACAGAAGCCGATACAATCAATTATTGCTTTACAACAACATGTTTTTACGTTTGTGTTTTACGTCGTTGTGTCTGCGATTGAAGGTGGTCAACATTGTTTCAAAACTTTCTTTGTTTTAGTGTGTCTGAATGTATCGGCTTCTGTTTGTATATGTGTGTCGGTGTGCGTCTGTGTGTGCTTAATGAGTGCGCTTGTACATGCGCCCCGCCATTTGTGCATGTGTTTGTTTGTATCTCTTCCTAAATTTTAAAAGGTATCCAATAGATACTAAAGTAACCCACGCTTTTCTTATTGTAATTTAAACAGTAATGTCTCATATTTAGGAAGAGACCCACGCTTTTCTTTATAGTTATTTAAATAGTAGTCTATAATTTGTTTTCTACTTTTTAGTGCATTATTACATAAAAGCTTGTTATTAAAACGTTTTTTTAAGATTTTTTTTTCAGTACTTAACATTTTTTAACTATTAAATTAGTTCTTTGATCTGTCACTAATATCGTTCAACCTGTAGTAAATCAAATTGCGTTTTAAGCAATGACTATTTTTTTTTCAAACAAGTATAACATTAAAATATATAGACCTATAACTCAAGTGTAACGGATAACGAAGGCTAGTTTAGTATAAATGTACTTTAACTACGAGTACATCAAGGTTACCAGATAAAGTATTGTGGCAGTCTCTGGGTTTAGCGTCTATACATAAAAAATAATGACACCACTGATGATAGAATAAATGTATTATTAAATATCAAATGCCGAAATTAGAAGTGAATGTAGATGTACACAACAAATCGAAAAAGAAAATCCATTGTAAATTACATGTAAAACGTTATGAGATTATCTCCCGTGTCAGAACCTATTGATTTTTTGCGTACACATAAGAATGTGAAAATTCTTGTGTATAAACAAAAGATGATATACATATATAACCTTAAAACTAGACTATAAATATCTTTCTTTTTAAAATTAATCTTTACTTTTAATGAAAATGTAAATTTCATTTTCCATGTGTTTCATCTCCTTTAAGATTGCTGTAGCACGCGACGGGTACGCAAGTGAGAGATATATTATTACTTCTTAAGTACGCCTCTACATGTGTAAGACTTTCAATCAGCATAAATTTCAATGATCAAAGTTAAATTGAAATTAAGTGAAACAGGTAATTCGATTTCAGAATTATAGTTTAATGAAAGATAACGCATCGTGCATGGTTACTGCTGCACAAGAATAGTTAAAGATGTCTCCTATTTCATTTTTTGTTATTCGAGTCAATGTTACAAAGTTAAAAAGTAGGCTTCCCTGGGACTTTATGTGTTTGTTTTGTATTGTAGTACAGTTAAACTTATAGTTTATTATTAATTAAATAAAAATTCTTACTTAGTTGCATGTATTTGTAATCATAAATCACCGTTGCTGGATTTTTTAAAAACGATTCTATAAATAATGTACTTCTTTAGATAGAATAAACAATTTTATAGGACAACAAAAATGCACTTTTCACACTTCTTAATATAAAAATATGTATGTAAGAATGTCTTATATCATCATGTTCATCATGTTTGCCTGTCGTCCCTACTGGGACATAGGCCGCTGACAAGAGCTTTCCCAGACGTCTCTGTCCAGGGCTAGTCTCTCCAACTGTCCCCAGGTGTATCCAATCTTCTTGGTGTCTTCTTCCAGGTCACGTCTCCAGGTCTTTCTTGGTCTGCCTCTCTTCCTCCTGCCTTGTGGATTCCAGGTGAGGGCCTGTCTTGTTATGCTGGATACAGGCTTCCTGATTGTGTGGCCAATCCATTTCCATTTTCTCTGGAGGATCTCTACTTCAACTGGCAGTTGGTTTGTCCGTTGCCATATATTGTCTTATATATTGAAGTAAAATGTATTATAGGTTGCATGGATATTGTAATCAATTGATGTGTACTGTAATTTTAGATAAAAACAAATAAATAAAACAAATCTGTGTCTTGTGGCTTGACGCGAATGCTTTGAGCGTTGCACTTTTTTGTCTGTTTCAAGGAGACGTACATAATATCTTCCATTACATCGACGTGACAACCCATGCTAACCCATTTCCGCGGTGCTTTTACTTGTATGTCCCGTTATGTCTCTCTGTGCTTGCCTATGTTTAGAAGGTCAAACCAGTTTGTAAAATCTTTTTCCCTGCTAGACACGGCTCCTAATTTTAAAATATTAGTTACACAACTTTTTCTCTCAGAAGTAAGTTTTACTATTGTAAAAAATCGTAGTTTCTTGGAAACAAATCTATTTAACACTTAACGTGAAATAATAAGGCAGCGATAGAATGTATCCCTATTTATAAGTTATTTGTTAATTAGACAAGTGGGGAGAGCTTGGAGTTTTTTTTTGGATGGTCAATAAATCTGTGAAGTTACGTTGTGAGGGAAAGTTGGAAAAGTATAGACCGTTGGCAGTAATGCTGACGACACCGTCCCTTCATATTCCGAAGTCAAGAAATATAAAATTTACTCCATCTGCCCTATGAATCTTTGAATCTGAAAGGGGTGGTTTTTACCATGAAAATTGATACACTATACTATATTAATTAATAATCTTCCCAATACAAAGCTATACATTGTATACTTCAGTACACATTTTATAATTTGCCTGTAAGTCGTGTAAAGAGATCTATAACAACTTTTTCCACAAAAAAGAAATGAATTTTTAAACTAATCCCCAGAGCAATGTCAGAAGAGTTACTATTAAAATAAACTCCAACTTCCTTTCCACCCTCCACCCCCTCACCCATTTTTCACTACCAGAAACTATATCAAACAACAAAACTATTTTTGTGGAATTTTGTTTTATTTGCCAGCCAAGAAATAGAGTAATAATATCCTGATTGTTGCGATGTGACTAGCATAGGCCTATACATAGCATGAAGTCTCAGTCATCGGACCAATAGATAGGAACGTCAGACACAAAAAGCTGAGCCTGAAAAAAAATTCAAAGTCCACACTAGAGATAACAATGTGCAAAATCACATGCTTTGTTTAATCTTTTCATTTTTTACAAAGTGAACTTTAGTAAAAGCTGAAATGTGGATTTAATTTAAGCAGATGCCCTAATAACTTTATACAGAAATTAATACAGTTACTTTTGCTGGTTTGTGATAACCGAACGGAACTCCCACTCTGCATATGCTTTCGTCACTCCCGTCATCACAATCTATCTCATCATTACACACACGGTAACGTGCGATACATTTTTGGCCATTTTCGCACTTAAACTGGTTACCGTGACTACAGTCAGTTGCTGTCAATAAAAACAAAAGTAAAAGATAAAAGAAAAAAGAAATTTTTAAAGTGTGTATTTGCTAATGATATTAATATTATTTTATAATGTTAGGTCTAACCGCTCAGTTGTGGACTAAAAAATCAAACAGAAGACAGTCTAGTTTCATATATTGTGTAAATTGATTATTATTGAGATATTTTTAACTTGAATGGTCTGTTAAATCAGGATATCAACCTTTTTTCTGCAATTTATTTAATATAAATAGCTAATATTATATACGAAATACGTTTTATATTATACATTAAAACTTACGACAATTTGCTTCATCGCTATTGTCGTCACAATCATTTGCTTCAGTATCACAAAAATAGTCATCCCAGACACATTCTTCGCCATCGTCACAATAGAACCCACGAAATGCAACGGAATTACAACTTCTCCCTATTAACAAATAGTCAAGCTTGATATGAAAAATCGCAAATATTAGAAACTCACAGAAATAATTATTAAGTTTAAAATGTTTGCTAATGCTGAAGGTAATAAATATTTGAAAGATAAGAATGTTACCAAAACTATAATTTATATAATTTATACAAGGTTTACCAATGTTTTGTGTTGCATTTTGTTAAGTGTATCTATTATATTTTTACACAACAGATGGTTCACAGACTACAGAATAAACATACCTCAGCCTCAGACATATTAATTGTGTGTGTATAATTCTATTTATATACTACTAAAACTATACTTTATTCACAAGTTTGAATCTTTATGTTTGTGTGTGTTGTGGGTCCGAAAACCATATATTCATGTAGTATTTTTTTTTATTTTCGCATTCAGATGGTACACAGTGGAAAATCCCAACACAAGCCAATTGCTCCAATCAATTGTTGTTATTAAGCTAAAGCTGATAGCATCTATTTATATTTGCATAAAGGATCCTCGCCTATGGGACAATGGGAAGCGCATTTATTTGGACAAAAAAAAACAATAATTATGCACATACCATGCGCTTCTCTTGTTAAACTGTTAGGCATAAAAAAATAAGTGCTAACACAAGAATTCTACAGCTTTATCTAACAAAATATTGACTAATATAGAGATGAAAATATTTTTTTGCTCAGTATTAGCGTACAAGACAAATACCAGCAGCATGATGGTCCATAGTTTCACGTCCATTGTTTATGTTTGCAATCTGCTCAATATAAGTTTGACTATTAAACCCTGGTTTATATTTTAATTAATTTTTCAACTCCAAGATGTTAAAATCGGTGCAAATTGAAAGCTATATAATATGTTGAAAATGGATCCAACATTCTCCCAAATGTAACACGGTTACATGATTCAGGCGCGGATTACAATTGGAGGTGGTCAGTGACTGAAAATTATCATGAGAAGTTCTAGATCACTGATGCTATTGGAGAGTAATAGGAACGATATGCTTTATTTACTTGTTAATAGTAAGAGTTTTACAGCCTGCAATTTACAGGCAAACAATGGATAAGGTAAAGTAGTTGCCAAAGACTCTGTCTCAAACAACAGATTGTAAATCTGCGAAGATGTGATGTGTTATTCAATAGATCTATGGCCCGTTGAAGGAGGATTACAACGTGACTGAGATGAGTTAGATAGTGTTATATTTTTCTCTGAACCAAAATCCCCTTCAGAATTAAATGGAAACGAAAAATGTCATTGAAAACGGATTTTTATCCAACAAAATCGGTATTTTTACCGAATCCAGAAATTTTACTTGAAATAAAACACCTAAAAACTCCAAATTAATCGACTATTTAGAATATTTTTCAAGATTTTGTTTTCTATATTTACATTAGTCTTAGAGTTTTGTTTAATTTTAGCGCTAGGGCTAGGGCTGGGGTCCTATATTATTTTAACCAAATTTACTCAATTATCTTGCTAAAAAATAAAGATTTATATAAAATATTTAAGCCCTAAAATAGTTTAGAAAAAAATTCAATTATTCATTGAGTTATTAATTCAGATTGGTCTAGATTCTAGACCCAGAATCTAAATAGTTTCTTTACTTATTCACACAGAAGAAAATTAAGTGTAGTTTATCAGTAGCTCTAGAGAATATCATTGTATTGAAGCTAAAATAGCAAAGATGTGTTTCAAATATTTAAGGACTAAATAGTTTAATTGAGAAACCCGAAAATGTCTTGGGTTTTCATACTTGTTTTTCTCTTTAACTTCTTAATTTAAGTTTGGCCTTGAGTCTAAAAAATAATTTATTTATTTATCGTCTTTAAATAAATTTATAATTAAAATTTAGGGAAAATGAACATTTTTATCAACATAAATACGCATTTTACAGTTCTACACATAGTACAGATGCTCTCATACAGCGGAGTTGACACACAATTAAAAAATTAAAAAAAATAAAAAACCAAACAAAAAATAAACATTTTTTTTTTTAAATTCGATTATTTTTTATATTTACTTCACTTACCCTGATTTTCCTTCCTTTAAATCAATGCAGGACCTTGCGAGTGTTCTTTCCGAAACGTAACGAGTTCTTTCTTATAAAATTCTCAATCGCCACGTAATTTGTCCATTCCTGCCTCCCCTTTATATAAGTAACTTGTAGCTGACGTGCAAGCCAACGCCTAGCCACGCCCCACCGAGCCTCTTTAGCTGCTAATTCGCCACGTCTGTAGATTTAATTTATGCATATCTAATTTCTTAGTCAGAGTAGGGCGGGTCGTGTGTACTCACACACGTATTGATTAATTTATTCGACATCGATACTTGATATTTGTCATTATTTGACAACAACGACACTAACATTAACGCCTAATTTTTTTTCCAATCTGAACAGTGATCTAATGCAGAATTTCGAATGTATATAGAAAATATATAATTTATATAGAAATATGTATACATTTACCTGTTTCTTTCCCCCACCCTCCAACACCGGAGAAAAAAGTCTGAAAGAAACGCTGTCTGTATGATTGAGGTTTAACGGCCAAAAGTAGGAAACATGTTTAGATTATAAACCCTGGCTCTAGTCTGTTTGACTTTTGTTTCTTTCAGAATTTTTTTCTCAATAAATAGATCAAAGTTACTAGATAAAGTTTTGTGATAATGTTTACACTTAGCATCTATAAAAAAAAAAAAGAACGGTGTCATTGATGGTCGAAAAAAATTGTATTACGAATGGAATGCCGAAAACGATACACAATAGTAATGTCGTTATTGATAATTCAGACAAATACAAATAGACGCTTAATGTATTGTCTAATTTTAGAAGTGAACGTAGATATAGAAAACAAATACCGGAGAATTATTATAATTAGAAAAAGTTGGGGTTATTAGGTGTTGTATTTCAAGTTAAAATTTACGGATTCGGTCAAAAATCAGTTTTAGAAAAAAATCCGCTTTGATGACATTTTCGTCTCCTATTAAATTTAAACTTTAACTTGTGCTATTGGTTTTGGTTTCTGTTTAGAGAAAAAGACTACACTTTCAACCTAACGCCCGTTGAATGTCTCCCTCAACAAGCAATTTATCTAGTCTTTAATAATTTTCATTTTAGCGCACACCCACAACACAATCTACTCTCATAAGTCTACACCGCCTTATACATCGACATCCACACCACACTGCACTGCATCAACAGCACAAAACACTGCCACTCATATCAACACTACACTGCACGTATCAGCATTATATTACACTTCATGCACATCCACGTTAATACCACACTGCCTGTTGTTCACAGCCACCTGTTACGCATGAACTCTTTGCCCGTCAACTTTGTCTATATGGGGGGGGGCGTAAATGTGTAATCTTCTATATTAAAAAGTACCTATTAATTAACAACTTTTATTATATTATATAAACTATAGAAAGTGTAATATAAAAAGGTATAGCGATCTTGTTGTGCGAAGAGGGCTAACTGTCGATTTTGCGCCCCCTCACCAAATTAGGCCTATATATAATTGGTGAAAATTCAGAAAATGCGCCCCCACCACCTTTATTTAAATGGTTGGTTGGCTTTTTACTAGTCACTTTCCGTTTTTTTTATGTCAGATATTTTGATGTAGCAAATAATTAAATAAGTCTGTAATATCAAATAGCAGTCTATTCGGCATCATTTATGGAAGACTCTTTAGCTGTTGCAATTTATTAAAACGCACTCAAATATTTCACACTGACTGCAATGGGATTCGTTTCAAGTGAAGCCATTTTAGAATATATAATGAACGTTAAAGGTTTTTGATAATAATCCGTGTGTTTATGCGGGAGTGGCGTATTTGTATGTATGTGTGTTTGTGTTTGTGATGATTTGAAAATATTATTTGTGTATGTGTGTTTGTGTTTGTGATTATTTGAAATGATTATTTGTGTTTGTGTTTGTGTTTGTGATGATTTGAAATGATTAATTGTGTATGTGTGTTTGTGTTTGTGATGATTTGAAAATATTATTTGTGTATGTGTGTTTGTGTTTGTGATTATTTGAAATGATTATTTGTGTTTGTGTTTGTGTTTGTGATGATTTGAAATGATTATGTGTGTACGTATGTTTGTGTTTGTGATTATTTGAAATGATTATTTGTGCCTGTGTGTTTGTGTTTATGATTATTTGAAATGATTAGAGATTGTGTAAAGTGAGTGTAATTGTGTGTATGTGTGTGTGTCGCCGTGTCTGTGTTTGTATGTGAGTGTGTCTGTATGTGAGTGAGTGTCTTTTTAGTGTATGTATATCTATTTGTCTGAGCAATCTTGCGTATGTCTGTTTGTGATTGTGTGTGCGTTTGCATGCTTGTATGCTTCTGTGCGCGTGACTTTATGTGTTTGTGTGTGTTGACGAGTGTGTGTGTATGCAAAACAATTTTTAGTCCTTGGATGGTCGCTGTTTTCGCATGAGCTGTTAGAAATGAAAAGAACAGATGTGATAAAAGATTTCATGTTTAAAATTTCTAGATAAGCAATATTCCACACGAGTAGATTTAAAACAATATAAGATAAATTCGGTGTTATAGGTATCATAGCTACCCATATTAACCAGCTGTCACAACCACCAAATTAACCAGGTGTCATAACCATCCAATTAACCAGCTGTCGCAACCATCAGAGCTACCCATATTAACCAGCTGCCACAACCATCCAATTAACGAGCTATCACAACCAACTAATTATCAAGATATCATAGCTACCCATATTAACCAGCTGTCACAACCACCAAATTAACCAGATGTTATAATACCCCATGACAACCAACTGTCATAAACACACACATTGACAAGCTGTCTGACTGTCACAACCACCCATAATAACCAGCAGTCATAACCACCTATTAACCGGGTATTATAACGACCCATATTAACCAGGTGTCATAACCATCCGTATTAATCAGATGTAATTACAACTCACATTATCACCCCATTAACCAATATTTTTTATTGCTAACCCGAAAGTCACGTGTTCGGATCGCTAACGCTGTTCCATGTAGCGGCCACCTAGGGTTTTTTGCAATACATCGTACTTTGAACAGCGCATACCGGCCACTTCGTGAAATCGCCATAATCACTTTACATTGATCAGCCAATGTCCGAAATTTCTCTCGAATTTTTATATTGGCCATTATATTAGCTAACTGATGTCTATCGTGCCTTTTTGTATTCATGCGTTTCAGAAAGTCAGACAGTGAACATGTGTGCGTATGTGCGTGCATATGTGCGTGCGTGTGTTTGTTTGTGCGTGTGTGCGATGATTTTAGGTTAGCTATCTTGCGGTTATTTTCATATCAAATATCGATCAAATTCGCTCACAAAGATACAGCTGTCTCAGATTAAACGAACAATGGCATGAACTAATTTCAAGCAGGCAACACCAATTAGTAAATCCACCTGAATTAATCACAAACAAATGGTTTTCTGCCTGTAGCTGTGGAATTGTCTGTGTGTAGGCTACATGTAAAAGTGTGTTTGAGTGTTTTTTGTCAATGTCTATGTTTTGCTAATATGAATGACTAAGTTTCAGTGTTCTGAATGTCAAAATAATCGAGAACATAGCAATTCAGGTGCAAAAATCACAAAGGGAATATGCAATATATAAATATGAACTTTGTGCTGATAACTTTGTTTTGGAGCTATAACTTTTAGCGACAACAAACTACTGTTTTAAAACAAATATTTGTATTCTTATCCTAGTTAGCGTCAACAAAAATTTGACTAATAAAACAAATATAAAAAATCTTTGTATTAGAAAAAAAACTTTTAAATGCACTGAAAATAAGAATAAAACAAACTAATTTACTTTTATTAAAGAAAGCAAATTAAATTACACAAAGTCGGTTGAAGGGGCTTCTTCTTCTTCTTCGTTCTTAATTATTAGTGTTGAAGGGGATCGAGATTTATCTGCCAGTGGGGTTGAATTCGAGACTTTGTTCGAATTTATCAACCATGAGCTTTTTGCCGACTCGACCACGCCTCCAACACAATTAAGCGTTACGTGTCAACTGGTTATGCGCCATTGAGGTCAGTGACTCCGATTTGCTTCCATAGCCTTTGTCCAACCAAGAACAAACTACAAGGCAGCAGTTGTTTTAATTTTGGAGTTATCTCTCCTAGAACTCGAGACTTTTCGGTCTAGCAACCATGAGCTTTACCGACTCGACCACGCCGACCCGGTTGAAGGGGCGTGTATTCTGATTCAACTGCCGAACTTCCACAGGGTCGGCCCAAGACACCCTTACTTTCGCGTAAATCGAAGCACCCCAGGATCCCACATTAGCACTATAGCATCTATGTTTGTTTTAAAGAGCGTCCTTATAATTTCAACGGCTAGACGAAACCAGTGGTTGCACCCGGCGCTTGTGCAGTTCTGTAGCTGCTGGCTTATGGAGCGACCCGCGACAATCCTGACACTTGGGTGGTCGCAGAGGAGTGTTAGTTAGGGTTAGCATACCCTGGGGCGTCAGGCCGGTAATATTGACCAACCATGCTCCATCAACTAAGATGCATTATTTATATTTAAAAGACTCAGGTTTAGGAAATAATTTCACACGTCTAAAGAGGCACATTTGGTAATGGGATGGTGAAAGACTTAAAAATATATTGTACGTATGGTGTGTAGGGCAGTGTATTGTTTCAGAGTTTAAACATGTTTATTTTATTTACACTGTTAATGTTAAATACACAGAAATATTAGCAGAACCACAACTATAACAGCAACATATAAACACACAGACATACTAGCAGAACCATAAATATAACAACACCTAAACACAAAAATACAAACAGAATAACAACTATAAAAACAACATAAGTTATAAACCCCAGCGCTAGAAATTCAAAACACTATCAACATAAGTTTATTTAAGTATATTTTAATGAAATCGTTTAAAAATACAACACCAAATAGAATTTTTTTAGAGTTAAAGTACATTAAAATTTGTTTTAAAATAACTAAAGCAATTGTCGGACCTAATGGTCAATTGAGAAGATGAAGTGATACCACGTTAGTTGTAAACTCAGTTCGTTACGACCGTTCCCAAATAATTATGCCTAACTTGAGGCAAGTATTCACATAGCAAGTTAGCTTAAAAATTTCAACTTAGCATTGGTCACTCTACCATTCAACACGATAAAAGAAGCCGTGAAATACGGGCTACACAATTATTTTTAAACTGAGAAAGGCAATTGTATATGTCTACTTCAATCTAATAACAGTTCAAGAAATGGTTAATTTTGCATAAAACATGCATTACAATAATACGTTAAGTCCTGATACATAAAAATCAAGAAGTTATCACTATCTTTGGTTAAACGAGACTTAGGAATAGTATTTACTATAAACAGTTAAATATAGGATAGTGCTGGTATTACCTAACAAAAATATAATATTGTTTAAATAATATTGTGTAATACAAACTCCTGCATTACGAACCTTAATGTAACACAACTAGAAGTGTCCATACCATGTGAGTGCTCTCTTAAATCTAAAAAAAATATTTTTAAAACCATCACAAAAAGTATAAAATGTCAGACAAGCCCCTTAAAATCAATTCACATAAGCGAAACCGTATATATATATATATATATATATATATATATATATATATATATATATATATATATATATATATATATTTAAAATTACATTTAAAATTTTTAAAAAAAATGGTCGAAATGAAGCAGAAACTCAAGTAAAGAATTAAGTAACATAACTATCGCAAAACAAGAGCATTACTTTGCTGAAGACATTTTTGCAATAAAATAGACTGAATTCGTAATAATTTGATAAGAAATTTAGTACCAAAAAATGTTATAAATCTCCTTAGTCTTAAAACTTAATTTTCTCTACATTAACAACCAAGGTCGAAGTTTAGCCCAAAAGCGCGTTTCTTCGCAAATTTTAAATACATCCAAAAGAAAAAATGATTTAACAATACTTAACTTAAAACAAAACTTAATTTTCTCTACATTAACAACAAATGTCGAAAAAGAAAAAATTTAACAATACATATGCACGTAAGAGGGTGTGACGACATGATGAATCACACTGACACTCGACCTAGTAACGTCACTCAACAGTACAGATTGTTCGGTTAAACTCTGTATTTATCTGTTTGCAATATTCTTCGTAATTCCTACCAAAGTCAAGTTGTCTCAGATTTTTTAAAACGGTGAATGTTTCTAAGGGAGCGGTAAAGGTCATGTTTGAGAAGGATATTACTTCTAGATGTGGTGTGTTTTTAAACGCAGTTGCTGAAACAGTCATGTTGTTGTGTTTGTTGTTACTTACAGACAAGTGATTTAGTTTGGAGTCTTTCGGGAAACTGTCCGCGCTTATGGCCTTGACGTTGTTGTGATCCAAAATTAAAAGAATGACTGAGGCTGGTATGTTTTTTATTTGTGAGATTTTGTTATGTGATATGAACAAAATACCTAACTGATCTGGCAACCCCTTTAGCTCTGAGATTTGGTTTTTATTGAGGCGGAGATCAAAGGTCGAATTGGGTATGTTTGTAATTTCTGATATTTGGTTATTACTCAATTCCACTTTGTTAAGTATATTACTTTCTGGAAAGTTCTCGATTCGCGTTAAGGAATCGTTAAGAAATTCTACTTCATAAAGATTTCTAACATTGTAAATTTTAGGCATTTTATGCAGTCGGGTTTTAAAGATTTACAGATAATTCTCTAACTTGTTGATCTTAAGATCTGACTGCCCATTTAGTGACGAATTAGAAATATGTACCTCTATGAACTCTGTCAAAATTTCAAAAGAAGCGGTAGCATTGCTGAGAGTAACACCTTTCAAATTTAAATACTTTAGAGATTTTTTTGATTTTTTCCAGGCAAAGGCACTAAGTGTTGCACCTGCTGAGGTTATCCGCAGGTAATTTGTTTCGGGGATGCTGTTGTCGGGGAAGAATGTGTTTGCGTCTGCCTGCGAATAATAAATAAGGATTTTAAATTAAAAAATGTTATTTACTAACTGTAGTGAGAGGCTGTGGAGTTGTTTAAATAAATTATATATATATATATATATATATATATATATATATATATATATATATATATATATATATATATATATATGCATATATTTTTATATATGCACATAAAATCATATTATATGCTTTTTTTACTGAAATCGAAAACAAAGCCAAAAGCACCACCTAAACCTCAAATGTAACCGGAAAAACAAATGTCATAGAAAACGGATTTTTATCCAAAAATTTTTACCGGATCCGGAAATTTAACTTCAAGTAAAACCACTAATAACTCCGACCTTAATCCTGATTCTAAAGTTTATATGCATATTACTTTTCCGATATTTGTTTTATATGTTTTATATGTTTACATTCACATTTAAAACTCTACAACTTAAATTAAATGGGCGTTTAATTTTTTGTCTCTTAATTGTGTATCGTTTTAGTAATTTGATTCTTAATTTTATTTTTACTCAACCATCAATGACGCCATAATATTTTGTGTATAGACGCTGAACGTAGACATTACCATAATACCTTATCTGGTAACTTTGATCTATACGCAGTTACTGCACATACTAAATATAGTCGTTGGCATACCCCTTAACCCTGCACCAAAGCTCAAACTTTACAGAAGTTGCATTTCTTACAGACAAAATATAGTTCGCCCCCCCCCCCTCCCCTAACATTTCATTGCACCTCCCCCAACCCAGGAGAAAAACAACTGAGAGAAACTCAGGTCGCACAAATTAAAGGTTTACCCGATATCTATAATATAGACCAGAGGTCTCCAAACTACGGCCCACGGACCGGATGCGGCCCGCGAGGTCCTCTCATCCGGCCCGCGGAGATCTTTTCGTCTTTATAATAACACAATATCGAGCACATGAGGAAATACACGCATCTAACCCGCCATGATGCGAGTTGAAAATCCTGGTCTTACGACAACCAATCGTCGATACTAATCAAACTTCTTCTTTCTTAATTCTTAATTTTGTATTACGTGTCAACGTGTTATGCGCCGTATAGGGCGTTGCATCTTATTTTAGACTACTTTTCTTTTTGGGTTTATTTGATAAGCTTTGTTAAACCTAGAACAAACTACAACCCAGCAGTTGTTTGATTTTTACAGTTATATTTTCTAGATGAGTGACTGTCCCCAGCTATAGAGCCCTATCTGCCCGGTTGCTTGAAATCGGTTGAGTACCCATAAGCTTAAACCGACCCGACCATTTGGATGGAATCAAAATCCTGATTGAAACTCAGCTGTACGCCTGGGTATATGGATAAAAAAATGTTTGGTTCTTTATATTGTTATGGTATACCTAGCAAGAAGCTTTGTTTGAGACGATTATAATCATGTGAGAAAGAGAGAGTGCGTGTTTTTTTTTTTTTTTTTTTTTTTTTTCGATTTTGACCCTACGTCTCAAAGACGCACTGCACTAGGGTATGTTTTATGCAGTGGTGGAACTAGATTTTGGCCCCATATATATATATATATATATATATATATATATATATATATATATATATATATATATATATATATATATATATATATATATATAAATTACGGTAGGCTCTGTGCCCCTAAACTGCCTGGGCACTCCGCATTGCGGGATCTCGCGGCACTGTAGTTCCGCCACTGGTTTTGTAGTGTAAAAATCGTTTTACAAAATAAATTTTTGGCTAATATAATCTATTATATTATAAGTGTTTCAGTACCTCAATCGATAATCTTTCGAATTTCCAGGAGCCGATTAATTTGTTTACATTGGAAAAGTTGACCTGACAACTGACATCGAAAGGAATAAGATAATTGCATATCTGAAGGTTAAAAATTACATTTATAATGTAATATTTTAAATGTGTATTTATAATTTTAATTTAGACATAAACGTACTTGCGAATAAAACAATTAGAATGTTAAGACGGAATGAACTGAGATTATAATGTTAAATTTGACAATTTTACCCCAATAATCCCAGATTATATTGTTAAATTTGACAATTTTACCCCAATAATCCGAGATTATAATGACAAATATGAACATTTTACCCCAAGTTCGAAATGGCATGGATGATCTGCCGTGTAATTTCTTTCCCAACTAATTTCATCTAGATGCGAGTCTTTACCCACAGGCGTTTTTTCTATGATGTTCGTTTTTATTGTTGTCCTATTGATACAAAAGAACTTAGTAAATAAAATTATGTCAAATAAACATTAAGTAAAAGTTTACTATTTTTAACCCAAAACATATTTTGTTTAATGTTATTTTAACAAACACAATAATAACTTAGCTTTTTCCAACGTGTATTGTAAATAACAAACATTTATTTCATAGGAAGAAAATAAAAATTAATCACCCGTTTTGTAACGTTTGAATGACAAGTATCCAGTAGAGCGTTGCCCTTAAACAAGTAGTGGTCAGCATGATGTAGGTTTCATATAACGTCCGCTGTGAGTTGGCCGTAATAACTATCTGAATATTTTATATCAGCTTGTTGGCCGATTCGCGCTAACAGAACACTTTGTTAGTAAGGGAGTCCAACCCATAGAAGGCAGGTATAGACCAATATTGATTACTGTGTTAATTAACTCCCCAAGATGTGGGTGGGCTTATATATATATATATATATATATATATATATATATATATATATATATATATATATATATATATATATATATATATATATATAACACTATATATATATATATATATATATATATATATATATATATATATATATATATATATATATATATATATATACACTACAATGAAGTGAAGAAAAAAATTTGGTAATGTTATTAATTAAATCCTAAAAGGTGAATTTGCTTCTGTGTGTGTCTGTATGTATATGTTTTTGCGTTTGTATTTTGCATCGTTCTGTGTGCGATTGTAGGTGGACAACATTGTTTCAAAACGTTGTTTGTTTTAGTGTGTCTGAATGTATTGGTTTCTGTTTGTGTATGTGTGTCGGTGTGCGTCTGTGTGTGCTTGATGAGTGCGCTAGTACATGCGCCCCGCCATTTGTGCATGTGTTTGTACGTATTGATGTACGTGAATGGAAAGATGCACGAAAATTTCTAATATGCCAAGTTTAGTAGAACTTCCACAAAAGTAGATTTTACAAAATGAATGCATGCATGTGTGAGGTTTAGGGGTGAGTTGGTGTTTATGAGCTGTGTATTTTGTGTAGTTTTTGTGTTTGTGAGAAAGTATTAATGTATATGTCCGTTTGTCTCTCCGAGAATGCGCGTGGGTACGTGTGTATGTATACCTAAGTGTGTGAAAGATTTAATGCGATACTGTGTATGTGTGTATGTGTGTGTGTGTGTGTGTGTTTAGAGAGACAGACAGTATGCTGTGCAATAGCCATCCACTAATTGTATTGATATTTTTTTCATCAAAGTCGTGGAGATTGAAGGCTTAATACCACACAACTCATCAACTCAGATGAATAATCTGTTTTTATATAAACAACTGGTGACGAACCGACTACGACGGAGTAAAACATGAAATTGGATAGAGCCCTCAATACTCTATCATCACAATACATAACCTTTAACAGACAATCCTGTAGATGAAATCAGTGGCGTAGCCATGATCGTCTAATGGGGGGGGGTGTTCAAATTTTGTACTGCATAATAAATGTATATATCAGTGGCGTAGCGCAGCTCCCCGGCCCCCGAGGACAAACTTTTGATTTTCGGTCCCCCTCTAACTTTTGATTTGATTTGCACCCCCCCCCCCCAAACTTTTGATTTGCACCCACCCTCGCTCAACCTTTATGTATTTACCGAGGGGTCTATGGGGAGGGGGGTTCTGACCCCCCTAACCACCCCCCCCCCTGGCTACGCCGCTGGATGAAATACAGCAGGTAAATATTATAATCTACATGTGATGTAAATTTAACAAAATTGCTAACGTAGTTTGATTAGAAGGCAAGAAACATGTATTTATAAATTCGGTTATCGCCTTTTATCCATAAAGATGGACATGTCCACTTTTGAAACTTATTCATAAGAAAATTGACCTATTTTTTTACTATTTGTAAATGGTTTTGGTGTTTTAATCAAGTTGATGTTTCACATAATTCAAGCGATTTTTCTAAACGGGTAATTTTCAAGACGATTTTAGGGTACATAGGCTCTGTACATCTGGCTCATTTTTTTGTATGCTTTTCGGTAATTTGCAATGCCATAAGCGGAAACAAACTCTAGGCACACGACACGGGCTAAAATTATGGCGAACAGATATTTTATTCGGACTTTTGGCAAGGGGGAGGACTCCCTCAAATATAAATTGTCTTTAAAGTAGTTTGATTCTAATTTTAGGCGGAAAAAAACTGACGATTTTTACTATTTTTTATTGTACTAACTTTAGCACATGTTAAAATTGTTTTTTAAAATAAAAAAATGTTTACTTTGGAATAAATTACTGTTATAATAAGAGTTATGTAAACAGCAGCAGTTTTTTTTAAACCAAAGATATGTCTTAAGCAGAATTCCTAGTTTCAAAAGAAGGAAGGTAAAAATAAATGTACATTCGAATGTATAAACGCTTTTTATATTATGCAACCGGAAAAAAATGTTTATTGTTGTGATGAGAACGCTAGAGACAATGACGTCACATGCCATATGTTTAAACTACTGAAAGTACACAAAGCTGATGGCGACATCTTTCAATTTTAGAATATTAAGAAATGGACTATTTTATTCCAATTTGACTTAGATCTATAGATCAGCTTATCAAGACGTTCGTTGTGAAATGTATAAAATTCTCTCGGCCTAAACTAATACAAATTACTTTTTAAAAAAACCCACCATAAATACCGATGAACTCTTGGGATTTTAGCAGAATAATTTAAGTCTCGTAATCAATGTGTGCATTTAATACAGTGTTGTGTTGACTAATAATCTACATTATTTGGTTTTTCTAATTTGTATTGGTAGCCTGTGTTTATTTAAAAGTGACGGATTTTTAGCTATTAAATTATTTTTAAAAATTTTCACTTACATCATTCAACGTGTAGTAAATTTCGTTTTGACCAATAACTATTTTATAAAAAAAAAATTTCTGAAACAAGTATAACATTAAAATATGTAGCCCTATAACGAAGGCTAGTTTAGTATAAATGTACTTTAACTACGAGTACATCAAGGTTACCAGATAAAGTATTGTGGTAGTCTCTGGGTTTAGCGTCTATAAATAAATAAAAAGTACATCACTAATGATAGAATACAATGTAAAATTAAATATCGAACGCCGAAAACAATGCACAAAGAAAGTACGCCGTCGATAATAGCAACAAAATGTTCAGCGTCAGACTTATTCCTTTAAGATTAGAATGTATATGTACAAAACATACCAGAAAATCAGCATTTATTTTCAATGATCAAATTTAAAACGAAATTAAAATACAGTTAATTCATTTCCTAAAATAGAATGGTCTTTCATACCTGGGTTACAATGTTACAAATTTTAAAAAGTAGGCTTCCAACTTGTTCTAATCTGGGCCTTTGTATGTATGTTTTTATTTTAGCACAGTTAAACATATAGGCTACTATTACTAAAAATAATGAAAATTGTTTACTTTACTGAGTATATTTGTAATCATAAATCGCCATTTCTGGATTTTTTAAAAACGATTCTATAATTAATGTACTTCTTTAGAAATAATAAACAATTTTATATGCCAATAACACCATTCTTCTAATTATAAAAATATGTCTTATATATTGAAGTAAAATGTATTATAGGTTACATGTATATATTAATTGACGTGTACTGTAATTTCAGATAGACTAAATAAAACAAATCTGTGTCTTGTGGCTTGACATGAATTCTTTGTGCGTTGCTTTTTTTTTTGTCTGTTTCAAGGAGACGTACATAATTTCTTCCATTACATCCACGTGACAACCGATACAACTAACCAATCTCCGTGTTATTTTACTTGTATCTCCCGTTATGTCTTTCTCAACTTTCCAATGTTTAGAAGATCAACCCAGTTTGTAAACCTCTTTGCCTTCTTTAGATGACGCTTCATTTAGTTACACAACTTCTTCTCTCAGAAGTAAGTTTACTATTTAAAATAGACTGTCTTTTGAAAATCAATATTTAAATCTTTTGATTAACAGTAAATATTGCTAGTTAGATCACATAATTTATCTTCTTATATTTAAAAGAGTATTTGTGACAAATTTTTTTAAAGTTATTGGAAAAATGTACTTCTCTGGAAACGAATATTTTAACATTTAACGCGAAATAATAAATCAGCGATAGTATGTATCCCTATGTATCCCTATTTATAATTTCTTTGTTAATTAGACAAATGGGGGGGGGGAGATTGGAGTTTTTTTATATATAATTTGGTTGGTCAATAAATCTGTGAAGTTACGTTGTAAGGGAAAGTTGTACAAAGTAAAGACCGCTGGGTATAATGCTGACCACACAATCTGTTTATATTTCGAAGTCAAGAAACATCAAATCTACTCTATCTGCCCTATGAATTTTTAAATCTGAAATGGGTGCTTTTATGTTGAAAACTGATACACTATAGGACTACTATATTAATTATTAATCTTCCCAATACAATCTATCGATGTATGTGATAATTCGAAAACATCTTTTTAAATCAGTCCGTTTGCACCCGAGACCACTGCTATTTTTTCCGCATGATGTATGTTTCAGCTAAGATTCTGCTGAGGGTTAACCCTATAGCTACACGTTATATACTTTTTTACCCGTAATAATTTTCCTAATACCTGACCGATTGCGATAAACATATGTAAATCATGTCGAGAGACCTACAACATCTCTTTCCACACACACAAAAATTGCATTTTAAACTAATCTTCTGAAATAATGTCGGAAGAGTTACTATTAAAATAAACTCAAACTTCCTCCTCCCCCCCCCCCCCCCTTTAACACTACCAGTAATTATATCAAACAAAAAAACTATATTTGTGAAATACTTTTTTATTTGTCAGAGTAATAATATCCTGGTTATTGCGATAAGATTAGCATATACATAGCATGAAGTCTCTTTTATCGGACCAATAGATAGGATCGTCAGACAAAAAAACGCTTAGCCTGAAAAAAATTCAAATATGTAAAAACACATGCTTTATTTAATTTTTTTTCTGCTCAAACAAACTTATCGTTAGTAAAAGCTAAAATGTCGTTTAATTCAAGCAGATGCCCTAATAACTTTATACAAGTATTAATAAACTTACTGACTCAAACTTGTCACTACCCTCCAGGAAAATAGCAAAATGATTCGTCACTCTCGTCACCACAATCCTGATTGTTGTCACATCTACGCATATCCGAAATACATTTGCCATTGTCGCACTTAAACTGGTTAGTGTGACTACAGTCAGTGGCTGTCAAAAAAAAAAGGCTGAACATTTTCAGAGGCAAATATCAGACACTTTGCAAAAGATAATAGAGATTTTTTAAAATGTGTATTTGCTAATGTTATCAAAATTAGTTTATAATGTTAGGTTAATTGTATACTGAAAAAATCAGAGAGGAGAAGATGGTCTAT